TGGCCTTGATTTTACAGTGATGAGTTTGCCTCAGCCTCTCCAGTACTGGGATTACAGGCATGTGCCACCACACCCAGTCAAAGTGATCCTTTTAAGATAACTCCACAGATTTCTTGAAGCTCACTCTGACCTACAAAGATCTAGAGATCAGTGCTTATCAAACTGAATTATCTGGGGATCTTAAAATATAGCTCTAGGCAGGAAAAGGAGTAATATATGTCTATAATTCTAGTTTCTTGGGAAACTGATGCAGGACCACAAGTTTGAAGCTAGCCCCAGCAATTCTACTGAGCCATCTCCCAGGCCCCATAGCCCCAGCAATTTAGTGAGACCGTGTTTCAAAATTAAAGAGCTAGGGTATAGCTCAGTGGCTGACTGCTTGCCTAGCAGGCCTGGAGTTCAACTGCTAGCACATAAAACAAACCAAAACAAAACCAAAAATTGCTATGTGTTTAAAACACTGATTGTTGTAATAACTGATGAAAAAACTTGCTAGTGCACACCTTAAGCTGCTGGTGACACTTAAGCCAATGATACAAAGTAGTGTATCTGTGGACACCAGTGATACTAGCCACCCACCTGTCAGCCTCAGGGTTAGGGATGCTCCTTGATGACAATCTCGATCAGGTTCACTAATCTGACTAATTCCATTTTCCTTACCAAAAATCAGGAATAAGCACACGATCTGCTTCTGTCTGAGTCTATTGGGAGACTTTCAAAAACATAAGAGGGAAATGCACTTTCCCACTTCTGGACATCAGAGCCAGAAGGTGCCATCTGACCCCTATGGTGTAAGGACCAAGTGGAGAGAGACTCAAGTATACTACTGAGTTGCTACACTGACTTCTTGTAGAGCCAACAAATGATGTTATGTCATTATCCCTGTGTTTACAGATGAGGAAACTGAGACATGGAGAGAATTAAGTAGCTTGTTCAAGGTTCAAACAGTAGAAGCAGGCAGTCCAGCAAGGTCTTTAGTATACACATACTTCTCCAAAGCAACCAGATACAAATCTATTCCAAGAACAGTGGCATTATGGAATCTTGTTTATAATGCACAAGTTGTTTTAAGACATTTAGAGTTTTTAGAAGGTAATTACTCTATTTGTATAGTCCTATGGCACTTGTCTTTTCAGTATACAAAGGACCACATATGAGGTTGGTTCTATCAAATTAGAATACAGTGGTGCCAAAAAACTAGTGGCCCTCGTGATATTGTAGTCACTGTAACAGCATTGCACAGCATGTTATTTGTGTTCATTGCAAGGCTGCTATAAACAAAACTACTATATTGCAAGTATAAAATACAGTACAAGACTGGCCAAATAACTCAACGGACTAAAGCACTGCAAGCAGGCACAGGGGCCTGCTTGATCCCCAGGCAGGCCCTGTCCCCAGAGTGCGCTGAGACAGCAATTGGGACTGGGCGTGGTGGTGCACGCCTGTAATCCCAGCTCTTGAGAGGCTGTAAACAGGTGGATCATTAAGAGTCCCATCTAGTAATGAGACCCTGAAAATCTATAGGTTCTTCCCTAAAAAAAAAAAAAGAAATACAATACATACAATTTTGCTTATCATATACTACTTGCTCATAAATAACTGCTATAGTTATTTTATAGTACACCCTTTTTATTCTTTCCAGCATTGGCGATTGAAATCGGGGCCTCACACAAGCTAGACAAGTACTCTATTCTTGTGCTGTATCCCCAGCTCTAGTGTGTGTCCCACGGAACCCAAGTGTGTAATAGGCTTTATTTTTTATTTTTTAAAACATTTTTATTTATTTATTTATTTAGTGTGTGTGTGTGTGTGTATGTGTGTATGTGACCAGCTCAGCCCACCAGGGGGCGGGGCTGGCTGGCATGTGGTGCTGGGGGATTGAACCGCGGTCCCTGTGCTTTGTCAAGCTTGTTCCAAGTAGGTGCTTTAGACCACTGAGCTATCTCGCCAGCCCCTGTAATAGGCTTTATCAACTAGGTTTGTGCAAGTATATTCCATGACGTAAAATGAAAAAAAAAAAAAAAAAAATCCCCTGACAACAGGCTTCTTGGAACACACACATCTTTATCTTCTTTGTTAAGCACTGCATGTCTATTTTGCATGGTGTTGCAATTGTGCACTTTTATTATTATTTTTCTTTTACTGTATTTCAGTACAGGAACTACAGGGTCTCACTACACAGATCAGACTCAGTGATTCTCCTGTTTTCAGGCTACCAAGTGCTGGGATTACAGGAGTGCTCCACCATACCCAGTCTTAGTCACTGTATCACTGTCCCCCCCTGGGGGGGGGGCAGAGCACACTGGGGATCGAACCCTGGTCCCTGTGCCTAAGCAGGCGCTTTAGTCAACTGGCTGGCTCTCATGCACATGTTTTTTAATTAATGCACAACTTGGAAACAAGCTATATAGATTTAAAAAAGCATTACTTAAAAAAAAAAAAGGCCAGAGCCAGTCATGGATGGCACAGGTTTGTAATCCCAATACTTGGAAGGCTGAGGTTGGAGGACCATTGCAAATTCAGACCAGCCTAGGCTACAGAATAAGCTCAAGGTCAGCTTTAATTGCATAGTGATAACTTGTGTCAAAGAGACAAAAAAGAAAGAAAGACAAAAAGCCAGGTCAGGTCCCAGACATCAAGGAAGCTACCTTCTCCTGTATCTCTTAAATTTATCAGGACTATGTTTTAGTATATGGTTAGGGTAAATGCCAAAATAAGTATCTCCCAAAGATTACTCATACTCACCAAGACTGTTTATGAAATAATCCATAGAAGACAGGTAATATGTGTACTCTTTGCCATGAATACATGCAACTCTAGGGAAAAGAATAAGGGAACAGGAGAGACATGTTCCTTGCCCTAGAATTTCAATGTAGTGGAACAGAAGTGGCAATGTACTTACACAGAGGTGGCTGGATTTTTTTTGAAATGCTAGGTAGAATGACTACTGTGGAGTCTTACCTTCAAGTTGGGATGGCAGCTGTCTAATGGGTACTACCTCTTGCACAACATACTGATTAACACCTCCACTTTTCAATAACTCCTCTGGGGACAAGGGCAGATGGAACTCGTACATCTGAGGAGACATCCTTCTCCGGCTGGCCAATGGACTAGAAACCAAACAGCAAAAAAGTTAAGAGACTAAATCTAAGATCCGTCACTTAATCTTATTCCATTATTGCTTGACCTCCAATATGATTTTAATCTTACAACAAACTGACATTATATTAGAGGATGTGGTATCAGCCCTAGACTAGAATCCATCTGTTGCAATAACTGCTACTTGGTCAGGTCACTTAATCCCTTCAGCTTCATCAGTAAAACAAGGTGACTAATCTCTGATCACAAAGTCGCTCTGTGAAGCAGATGGACAAGGCAGTAAAGTGTTTAAAGAACTGCAAGGCAATACATCAACGTCTAAGGTTCAATGTGGAGAACGTCTCACGTGAGACCAGAGCAGTAGCCTGTCTTGGGCTGGTTCGTTTCCAGGCTCCACAATGCGAAGCACTAGTATTTATTCACTGTGAGTCAGATTCTGTTAGGCTGTTTGACTATATCATATCCGATCTAACTCTCCTCGACTCAGTCCCATCAAGTATATCAACAGTAAATATCACAACCCAATTTACATTTGAAGAATTTAAGGTTTTGGCGATTTGCCTGAATTACACTCGTTACGTTCCAGGGCTGTTGAGACTTACTGATTGTACCACATCGCACCCCAAACATATCCCTAATAGACCTCCCTTGCGACTGCATACTGCTAAGACTGCGTTCAACTCCCCGTACCGACTTCCTCAGCCCTTCGGTCAAATAGCACACCTCACCTGAGTGTTTCCGAACCTCCTCAGACGCTGGGATCCCGCGGAAAAGCAAGGGGGCGGAGAACGAGTGCACAATACGAACCTATCGGCGAGACTGTTTTGACGTTAGCTGAGAAATCGGCCAATCCGCAGCAGGCTGAGACCAAGGCCCGCCTCTGAGGCTGGCGGAGCGCGGGCCAAAGCACCAACACGCAGTTCAAATTCCAACGGCTGCGAGGGGACCAATCGCATCACTCGCTGAAGCGATCAGCCAATCACAGTAAGGGAACCCTTCTCAGCGAAGGGCGGAGCCTCGACCCAGGCTCCCGGGCCCCGCGGGTACTAGGTACCTCCTCCAGCCTAGGCTCCTTCTCAGCCTCGACAGCGGGGAGAAAGCCCTGGCACTCCCGGCCAGACGTGTCTTGTTCCTAGCTGAACAGTGGTTTTGGCCCTCGGAGAGTGGCCTACTCAGGGACCCCCAGAACAGGAGGCAAGTCCAGGCTGGAAGTCAGAGGCTTGTGCTCTAAACCAAGTCTTTCCATCTTTGCCTTGTGTTGCAGAGCCTCAAAATCTCTCCGCTGTAAAACGACGGTTGTAAAAAAATAGCACTCCTGTCGTGAGGCAAACAAAAGGGCTTGTTCTTTGAACTCTTCAAAACTCTGCCTTGCAGACGCTGTGCCTTCATCTCCCTCACCGTTGAGGGATACACGCAGGGGCGGGTATGGGTGAACTGCCTTTGAATTTCAGTTGGGGAAGTCCTCACACCGCCGGGAACGTCTTCAGCTTTTTTAGCGCTCCAAGACTTCCGGCTTGCAGACCGGAAGCGTCTGGGCGGAGCCGGCTGTCTGCGCCTCCGTCGGCCGGAACTTGGGGGCGGAGCCCGCGCTCGAAGTTACCTGGGTAAGGTCCAAGATGGCCGCTCGCGTGCGAAAGTTCGTGTAAAGGTGGCAGGGACGGAGGGGGGGGCTCTCTTTGTCGCCTCCTTGAAAGCCACGCCCGATCCACGTTCAGAGTAGAGCAATGGCAGGGGCCCTCTCTTGGAGGGCTGGAAGGTGCCTGTGGGGCTCGGTGACAATGGCTTGCAGAAACTTCTCCCTGGGTGAGTGGCTCCTGTAGGTAGACTGCCCTAGAACTGTTTCTTGGTAAGCAGTTCAGAGTCATCCTATGTCTTCCCCATCTCTAGGTGTTCCAGGATTATCCCGTATAAGGCTCACCCTGCCACCTCCCAAAGTGGTTGATCGTTGGAACGAGAAGAGGGCAATGTTCGGAGTATATGACAATATCGGGATCCTAGGTAAAACTTGACTCTTGTGTGGTACGAATTTCATACGGGCTGTTAACGCCATAGCGATTGGTTTTGTTTTTTGTTGTTTTTTTTTTTCACCTGGTTAGGGAATGGTTTCGTGTTCAGTAGTAAAAGCAAGCAGTTATGTGACTTACGTTTGGCACTGTTTTGAGTGTTATACGGATAATAACCCCTTTAATTCTCATAACCTCACTTTGCAGGTAAGGAAACTGAGACACTGCTGAGAGGTTAATTTTTCAAAGCTAGTTAATAGCAGTGTCAGAATTTGGACTGCAGTCATTTTGCCTCTGAAGTCTGCTCTTGCTACTATGTGTCTTTTCTGTATGTGCTTCTCTGGAAGAGACAACCGTGGCCTGAAGACTTAGCTAGTCTAGACTGAATTCTCTTGGAATTAATGTTCTTTTACATCATACAGGAGACTTTGAAAAACACCCCAAAGACCTGATTACGGGCCCTGTGTGGCTTCGAGGCTGGAAGGGAAATGAACTGCAGCGATGTATACGAAAGAAGAAAATGGTTGGAAATAGAATGTTCATTGATGACTTGCACAACCTTAAAAAACGTATCAGTTATCTCTACAAACACTTTAATCGTCGTGGGAAGTATCGGTAGAAGAATGTGGGATCTGTGGAAGAGACGCATCTGTCTCCCTGGAGAGGGGGACGAGACTTTCCCTATGAGGAAAGGGCTTTGTATGCTGACTAATAAAATGGAGTTTTGGACTCTAATATCTACACTTTATAGTTCTCTAAAAGCTACTTGTATTTATATGTGTACGCTGTAGAGTCTGACTCATCCTTAAGTCTTAGGGTCTTAGCTTTGGGCTTGATCACTTGCTCTTAACAGTCTCTTATGGCCTTTAAAAGTAGAGAAATTGAGTCAGGAATATATAGCTCAGTGGCACAAACACCTTCCTGGAAAGTGCAAGGTCTGAGTTTGATTCCCGGTATCAAAAACAAACATCAAAGACAACACTAAAAAAGAAGTACTAAAGGCCAGCCTGATAGCTCAGCGGACTAAAGCACCTGCTTAGGCAGAGCACAGGGACCGGGGTTTGATCCCCCAGCGTGCTGT